CCTCCTTACCAGGGTCCTCCACCCTCCTTACCAGGGTCCTCCACCCTCCTTACCAGGGTCCTCCACCCTCCTTACCAGGGTCCTCCACCCTCCTTACCAGGGTCCTCCACCCTCCTTACCAGGGTCCTCTACCCTCCTTACCAGGGTCCTCCACCCTCATTACCAGGGTCCTCCACCCTCCTTACCAGGGTCCTCCACCCTCCTTACCAGGGTCCTCCACCCTCCTTACCAGGGTCCTTCACCCTCCTTACCAGGGTCCTCCACCCTCATTACCAGGGTCCTCCACCTTGTTACCAAGTCCTCCACCACCCTCCTCACCAGGGTCCCTCCACCCTCCTTACCAGGGTCTTCCACCCTCCTCACCAGGGTCCTCCACCCTCCTTACCAGGGTCCTCCACCCTCCTTACCAGGGTCCTCCACCCTCCTCACCAGGGTCTTCCACCCTCCTCACCAGGGTCCTCCACCCTTCTTACCAGGGTCCTCCACCCTCCTTACCAGGGTCCTCCACCCTCCTCACCAGGGTCCTCTACCCTCCTTACCAGGGTCCTCCACCCTTCTTACCAGGGTCCTCCACCCTCCTTACCAGGGTCCACCACCCTCCTTACCAGGGTCCTCCACCCTCCTTACCAGAGGTCTCCACCCTCCTTACCAGGGGCCTTCACCCTCCTTACCAGGGTCCTCCACCCTCCTTACCAGGGTCCTCCACCCTTCTAACCAGGGTCCTCCACCCTCCTTACCAGGGTCCTCCACCCTCCTTACCAGGGTCCTCCACCCTCCTACCAGGGCTTTCACCCTCCTTACCAGGGTCCTCCACCCTCCTTACCAGGGTCCTCCACCCTCCTTACCAGGGTCCTCCACCCTCCTTATCAGGGGCTTTCACCCTCCTTACCAGGGTCCTCCACCCTCCTTACCAGGGTCCTCCACCCTCCTTACCAGGGTCCTCCACCCTCCTTACCAGGGTCCTCCACCCTCCTTACCAGGGTCCTCCACCCTCCTTACCAGGGTCCTCCACCTTCCTTTCCAGGGTCCTCCACCCTCCTTACCAGGGTCCTCCACCCTCCTTACCAGGGTCCTCCACCCTCATTACCAGGGTCCTCCACCTTGTTACCAAGTCCTCCACCACCCTCCTCACCAGGGTCCTCCACCCTCCTTACCAGGGTCTTCCACCCTCCTCACCAGGGTCCTCCACCCTCCTTACCGGGGTTTCCCTCCCACCCTCCTTACCAGGGTCCTCCACCCTCCTCACCAGGGTCTTCCACCCTCTCTCACCAGGGTCCTCCACCCTCTTACCAGGGTCCTCCACCCTCCTTACCAGGGTCCTCCACCCTCCTCACCAGGGTCCTCCACCCTCCTTACCAGGGTCCTCCACCCTTCTTACCAGGGTCCTCCACCCTCCTTACCAGGGTCCACCACCCTCCTTACCAGGGTCCTCCACCCTCCTTACCAGAGGTCTCCACCCTCCTTACCAGGGGCCTTCACCCTCCTTACCAGGGTCCTCCACCCTCCTTACCAGGGTCCTCCACCCTTCTAACCAGGGTCCTCCACCCTCCTTACCAGGGTCCTCCACCCTCCTTACCAGGGTCCTCCACCCTCCTTACCAGGGGCTTTCACCCTCCTTACCAGGGTCCTCCACCCTCCTTACCAGGGTCCTCCACCCTCCTTACCAGGGTCCTCCACCTCCCTTACCAGGGCTTTCACCCTCCTTACCAGGGTCCTCCACCCTCCTTACCAGGGTCCTCCACCCTCCTTACCAGGGTCCTCCACCCTCCTTACCACGGTCCTCCACCCTCCTTGCCAGGGTCCTCCACTCTCCTTACCAGTGGCCTCCACCCTCCTTACCAGGGCCCTCCACCTTGCTAATCAAGGTCATCCATCCTCCTTACAAGGGTCCTCCACCCTGCTTACCAGGGCCCTTCACCCTCCTTACCAGTGTTCTCCACTCTCCTTACCAGGGCCCTCCACCCTCTTTACAAGCGTCCTCCACCCTCTTTACAAGGGCCCTCCACCCTGCTAACCAGGGTCCTCCATCCTCCTTTCTAAGGTCCTCCACCCTCCTTACCAGGGTCCTCCACCCTACTTACCAGGGCATTTCTCTTTACTCTACTTACCATACTTTCATTCATATACAGTAGTATATATATTCATCATATTTATTCGTACACATATACTTAATTAAGCACATGCATACATTTGTATATCAACAGCTTTCATGACCACACATATACATACGCATATGTTTTAATATGCACGAGAATTCGTGCATATTCATACATATAACAAAAGAATACATAGGTATAGACATGCATATGATTATATATTCATATTCACATTCATACATACACAAAAGTGTACATACATGCATTCACAAAAAATATATTCATTAATGCATATGCTTGTTTACTTATATGTATAGAGAACTTATTCATAAATGAATCTATGCATTCACATATACATACGTCAAAGCTTATACATATACTTACAAACATACCCATATTCTTATGTAAGTATGTATTTTTATATTCTGATACATTAGAATTTTCCACAGCCTTGTACTGTTCCTTTGCGTGTATTGTGGTCAGTACGGCTGGGGTTATGGAACAACGGGATGTCGTACCTCGGCTCACGCAGCCACCGAAATGCCTCTAGTTAAGAACAATGTTTTACTATAAATATGTTTTATTTATCTTGATTAAGTAGCTGAGATATATGTCGACTGAAACATTTCCACTGGTATTCGTATCGAGAAGCTGAAACAGAAGGTGCTAAGGAATGTTTAAATTATATAAAATTGAGATATCAACGTTTATAATAGTGTTGATAGTTTGTTTGTTAATTTACAAAGACAATACCACTATTATCGCAGGAGAGTTTCTTGCATTAACAAGAAATGTAAATCATCTTCATTCAGAATTTTGTTAACTGAAATACATAATCACACTGACCACAAAAATACTTTGAAATGAAGGTTGTATATTTAGCTAACTGTCCTATGTATTCGCAACAGTAGTAGATTATCGCAGTAGTAGATTATCTTCTCAATTTTTCCATTTGAAAACTTCCGTAAGCCATTTTTTGTTAGCATGTCAGTACAGGCTGATGGATGTACAATATATTTACTAGCATTTTTTATTTTTATTATTTTTTAAATAGGTGTCACGCTAAAGTATTCCATGTCACTCTGACTTATATGCACTAAGTATAATAAAATACTGTGTTATGAATCCTAGTTATCTGCCTTCTCCTCTGTACACATTGACCTCTGTAAATATAAGCCTTTTGTACGTGTTGATCTTTTCTGTAGAGTAGATGTGATTACCAAACAGTGTTATTATAAGTTTGACGACTTGCTTGTGTATAATCATTGACTTTTTAACCATTTGATGAAACAATGTTAAACTACTTTCTAGAAGTCATAATTAGGTTGAACATGCACACAGGAAATGTAATTGATAATTTTTTTAAATTGGCTTATATATAATGATGCCATTTTATCACCTGTTGTGAACTGTTATCTTTTCTGTTGACCATGTAATCAATATTTATTGCATAAACATGAGAAAATGGTCTTATATATATATATATATATATATATATATATATATATATATATATATATATATATATATATATATAATATATATATATGTATATATTATATATATATATATATATATATATATATATATATATATATATAATATATATATATATATATATATATATATATATATATTATATATATATATATATATTACATACATACATACATACATACATACATACATATATATATCAGAATTTAGTTAAAAAAATTACGTTATGTTAAATTAGGCTTGGTGAGGTTTTTAAGTTACGTTTAGATTTGGTCGACAAATATATGCCAAGGAGCAAGTGTAATTTTGGGGTTCCTTGCTAGTGTAGTGGTGGTTTCAGAGCTTCACTACTAAATCAAAATTACGTAGAGTTAAGGTGACATGTTAGGCGGATAACAATTCGTCAATTACGGCTCGTAGAGAGGAGTAACACTGATCTCATTAAATTTGGTGCTGGGATATGAATTTTTAAAAATTTGATGATATGTCCACAATGCATTTTTCCTAGGAGTTGGAGTTAGCCATAAAACCCATCATCATTGTCTCATAAGTTTTTAGTTTTGTGGAATGTTCCATTTTTTTTATATCACTCTTGTTCTTTACAAGTTTATGTCTTGAGTCTTGGCCATATCTTTCACATTATTTGTGTTCCGTATTTTGTGTTGCTAGATTATCACCAGTTTCGACAAACATACGAAATTAAAGTTGTCATGGAGTTCGATTTTCTCACAGTGTCTTTTGTCACTTTTTAACATTTTTATCAACGATTTCCAGTTTTGTTAGATAATGAAAGAATGTCCTCTGTTATAACTTTTGCCTTCTCTTGGATACTTTTACAATATATTACCACTTGCTTAATCTTGATTGGATCCATCTGTTTAGGTTGGAGCTTCTCGAAAAAGTTTTTGTTAACCTTAATTAAACCTGACTGGTTTAAGGCAAATTTTCAATGCTCTTAGGAACAGGCTTAATATCGTATTTTTATTTTTAGTTGTTGTAGTCTTGTTAATGAAACAGTTTATATTTATTCAGTTGTGTAATAATAATCCAAGCCCACTTTTAAATATATACATTCACTATTTCAACAACCAAGGTACACATGTAAAAATAAGTACAATATCAAACCTGTTATGATGACATATGTGAGCTAAAAATGTAGACAGCTTACTAAATTTTCAGCAGAATCACATGATGTGATCCTTATATAGGGGTGGCCCGGTAATCCAGCAGGGTTTAGTAATATTTCCAGTAGTTCAAGCTTGAGAGTTATTATATGACTAAGACCCACGACACCTGTGCCACAAGAGCATTAAATAGTACTTTTCAGTCTGTGACTAATTTGTGTGAGGAAGCAACGTTTTATACAGAGTCAAGAGTGAAGATTATTCGGCCCTGGAGGCGGGAAATATGTAAAGCCCATCCATAAAAGTTAAAAGGGTGAACCAGAAGCTGTGAATCAACACCTCCAAGCATAATTAGGTGAGCATTACTAGGCGAGTACACACATGAAGCCAACAAATAATTGTAAATACCCTTCTCTACAGCCGGTGATTCCCATAACCCACAACTTGGATCCAATAAAGCTACTCACTGACGACGCTACCATCGCCGGCTGGAACAACGAGGGTCTTCCCTCTGACAGAATGTCCACTGAGAATGCTATCATCCTCACTAACTCTGACCGCTGGCCCCTCATCATCGATCCCCAGGTAAAGTACAACATTATTTTTTTCCTTCACATGTAAGTGTTGCTAAAAGTATCTACAGTACCTTAATCTCTAGGTGAAATAGGAAGGCTATTTTATCTGGAGACAATAACCTGCATATGGCTTTTCATTCTTTTTTTTTTCTTTGTATTGTCTTTGCTGTACTGTTTTTATTATTCTGTGATCAATTTCTGTTTTTACTACTGTAATGTTCTGTGTTCAGTCTTAACTGCACACTGATTGTGAATATTCAGAATATTGGTCGGGGACTCAATGAGCTGTTGTATATATCAGAATCAACTCCGTAACCATTCAACACAACTGTGCTTTGATTGTATTAGAAACATGAAATGCGACCCAGATGTTTTAATTGTCGTTAGATCATCTTATGTAAGCTCCGTGGTTGAATCAATACAACATGGGGCACAGACCACGGTTCGAGTACCCGACCAGTCTTCCGTTTATTCCTTGATAGTTTCTCAGTGCAACTTAACGTGGGTTTATGTACTGTTATTATCTTGTATAATTACTACATTGTCTGTTTGTCATCTGTCTTCACTACTTTTCTTGTCTTCAATATAATATGATTGTCTTTAATCATCACTGTATTGTTTTGATCTGCTGTCTTCAATGCAATGTGCGGCAAACTTTTGCCTTCTGTTAATTATTATTGTTTTTTTTATTTACACTATATAGTGACTGTCTTCAATCTTCACTGTACTGTGACTGTCTTCTAGCTTCTCTGCATTGTGTTTCTTTTTTCACTTCAGCGTAGTATATGTTCATATTTCGTCTTCAATGAATTGTATTTATCTTCGATCTTCATTGTTAAATCATCACTGTATTGTGTGTTAATCTTGTAGCAATATTGTATCATATATTTGCCTTTCAGCTGCAAGGCATCAAATGGATCAAGGCGCGATACGGCGATGCGTTGGTGGTGTTGCGTCTGGATCAGAAGACCTGCATCGACCACCTGGAGGTGGCCATCACCAAGGGCAGCACTGTCTTGATCGAGAACCTCCCAGAGAATCTTGACCCAGTTCTTGATCCACTCATTGGCAAAAATCTCATCAAGCGAGGACGGTAATTATTAGGTATCCCTGAAAGGGGATCTTTAAGTGCTTGCCGGATTTTCTCCTTTTTCTTCCTCCGACTTTTCTTTCTTATTTCCATCATAATACGACAGGGCCTCATCCGATCGGCTTGAAATTTTCAGCGCTGGCGTTCGGTAACTAAGCCAAAATTCTAGGTGTAATTGGCATGTGCAGGTGCCCTATGACCAAAGTAAAAGGAACTTTCGCAGCATCCAGGAATAGCTCCGGTAATTATAGAAACCCTCTGCAGCATAGCTTCAGTTAGTTAAAGAAAAGAGTTGCCTCCTAATTCGCCGACAGTGAAGAGTGAAATTCGACTGTGTAGGTGTGCATCTGTCCAGTTTTATGTATAATATAATGTCAAATTTTAATTCTTGTTTAATCATGTTAAAAATATTTTTCCCCTACCTCTTCTAAATGACTTCAATATTTAATAGGTAATATAACTTACGCCAGTAGTTTCCTTTAAGTTTAGTTAGTGTGCGGGTAAATTTTCAACAAAACTTGGAATTGTTTTTATCCCTTTGATAAAGCCTCTTCTGATTAGCTTCAATAATGCCATTGATGTGTTTCCCATAATGCAACGTTCATGTTATTAGGCTTCATATGTATGAATTTGCCAATTTTATTAAATTAATAATGATATTAATTTCCATTCATTATAGAATGCCTCGTCTTATCGGTACTATATTATTAACTCTGATGCATTCCATAAGAAGGAAGACATCCAGTAAGTTTACACTGTATTGATGCAGTTTTGAAATTTTAATGAAGATTGTATTTTCTGATAGGCTTCAAACATTCAGTGTTGATAGCTTCCATGAAAAGACAACTGACTTTCACTTTGAGCTTTGTTAATTTGAAATTTATTTTTTTTTTAACTAAAGATATCTCTTCCGGTCAGCTTCAATTAAGTTTTGGCTTTTGTAAATCTGAACTATTTTTATTTAATTTAGGCTTTTCCGTACCCATTTTATATATTATTTTTATTAAATTGGATTTTCTTTTAAAATTGTAAAATCAAATATGTGTTTTCATAGGAGTGTAGAAAGTGGAAAAAATGAAAGTGGAGAAATAATCAAAACTCTAGTTTTTATTGCATTTTAAATTATCATCAGAACAGTGAAGCCTGAAATACTTTAGGAGTTAATGTCTGAACATTAATATTGTTAAGTTAGACACATGTGCAACTCAACCCAAGAGTGGCACATGTGTCTAATTTAACAACATGTTGGTTCTCTAAACCATTCATCTACAATATTGTTAAAAGCACAGCGTTCTTATTCTCCACTAACATCCTCCTAGAATTTTGTTTACAACTTCAGAATGCCTTACCCGATCGTCTTTAAATTTTCGTTCTCTGATAAGTATTAATAAGAGAAGACTCATGAAACAACTGTCAGTTGTGGTGCCCTCTGCACCTTTTTTTTACAGACAATTCCTAAAACTGGTTTTCATGAGATTACTGTAGAAAACCTCTTTAGATGGTCTTCAGAATTTCAGAAGTCTGGTGTTGTTAATAGAATTTGTTAGTGCCATATTGCCACTTTTAATATGGAAATACAATAGAATTATTTTATAGTATTGCATTATATCACCTTGATGCTGGTCAGTGGCTCTTGATCTAAGGAACAGAATTTATCCTTTCCTTGGATCGTATCCGAATGTCTCTAATTCTACAGACGCTATATAACCATATTGGTTTAGCGCTTTTCCCTTCCAATGAATCTTTACTAGATGAAGCGTTTATTGGGTTTAGGGTGTGTAGGTACTTACTAGTATTTTCTTGGGTTCTGTCTTAGTACCTGGAGAATGCCTTTGCTGGGCAGATTTAAACTTTTAAAGCTGATGTGTTTTCCTCGAAGGAAGTTTTGTATTAATTTTAGGTTGTGTAAGTTTTAAAATGCAAGTTTTATTAATCACATTGGATTCTGTGAAATACCAGGAGTACGAGGCCTGGTCAGGGACCCGGCCGCGGGAGTTGTGTCCTCAGGAAGCATCTGAAGATAAAAGTTTGTGCTGATCAAAAATATGTTACAGCGCTTGATCTTATTGGGTTATTCTGGGTTAAATGTGTAATTTTTAAGTGCATGTCAACTAAAACCTCAAACGCTGATCAATATTTCGCAGAGAGAACTTTGGAAAGTTTTTGGCCTGTGTGGATTTTCTTCTTAGAAACTCAAGAAATTTGTATATATAATTTATATATATTTATATATCTGATTGCTTCATGCGACTGGATGGTAAGTTACTTGATATTGCAAATTTTGAGCGACTTTTGTCTTATTGTGCTGGTGTATATTAGGTTATTGGTCTCTCTCAGGTAAGACGAGAATACCTACTGAACTTGGCATCAAACATGAAGTTTCTTAGTGGAAGGTTTGATTAATATTTGGCTCTATTTGCCCTAATTTGCTAACTTGATTGGCTAGTAAATATAACTTGTGAATACCTCTTCTGATTAGCTTTAAATTCTCAGCACTAATATTTAACCGCATTGAAAACCTCTGTCGCACACTGCACTGTTTCTTTCTCGTGTATTAACGTACAGGCCGCGGGGATTATGCATGGCGGGGTCATCTTTCTCGGATGGTGTGTAACCACCGAAATAAATCTCGTCGATATTAATTTAATTAAAAAAAAAAACGTTGTGTTTGACAGTAATAATATGAGTTCCATATTACATAATAATTTCACAATTTAACTCTATTACCAGCCTATGCCGCACTCTGCACTATTCCAACAACGTGTATTGAGGCAGTATATTGAGTAGTACACGGTGGCACTCTTTCCTCGGATCACGCACAACCGAGAACGATAATTTTTATCCATTAGTTCTTATCTACTCTTTATCTATTTTTTATCCACTGTCCACTGACAAAATTCTTCGTATAAAAGTTAACTCAGCGTTGACGAGTCGTTACCTTAATTATTAATACACAACCTGTATATGAACATGTATACAAGTGTATACGTATACATAAGCAGACACATATGCATGCATATGTGCACGCATACATAAGCAAACACACATACATATACTAAATGATACATACACATATATAGGCCCATGCAGATGAATGCATACATATGCTCATGAAGTATACATATGCAAAAATATACATATTCAGTTTGCAGAGATGCATAAGAGTTCATACATACATAGATATGTAAACATGTACACATTTAAACAAAACTACACACACACACACACACACACACACACACACGCACAACACACACACACACACACACACACACACACACACACACACACACACACACACACACACACACACACACACACACACACACACACACACACACACACACAGGGAAACGGAAGGTGTGGGCGAGATTGGAGAAAGGGACTACAATTCAGTCTGGGGAACAGAAGGTAGTCATTGCAGTGATGTATAACCCACCACAGAACTGCAGGAGGCCAAGAGAGGAATATGAAGAGAACAACAGAGCGATGGTGGACACACTTGCTGAGGTGGCACGAAGAGCTCAATCGTGCAGAGCAAAGTTACTAGTTATGGGCGATTTCAACCACAGGGAGATCGACTGGGAAAACCTGGAGCCTCACGGGGGTCCTGACACATGGAGAGCCAAGTTGATGGATGTGGTACTGGAAAACCTCATGCATCAACACGTCAGGGAAACTACGAGAGAGAGAGAGGGGAGGATGAACCAGCAAGACTGGGCCTTGTGTTTACCCTGAGCAGTTCAGACATTGGGGACATCACATATGAGAGGCCCCTTGGAGATAGCGATCACGTGGTTCTGAGTTTTGATTACACAGTAGAGCTGCAAGTGGAGAGAGTAACAGGAGTGGATTGGGAAAAGCCAAACTATAAAAGGGGGCGACTATACAGGTATGAGAAACTTCCTGCAGGAGGTGCAGTGGGCCAGAGAGCTGGTAGAAAAGTTAGTGAACGAAATGATGGAATATGTAACAACAAAATGCATGGAGGCAGAGGAAAGGTTTATTCTCAAGGGCAACGGAATTAATTGGAAGACCAAAGTGAGTCCTTGGTTTACCCAACAGTGTAAGGAGGCAAAAACTAAGTGCATTAGAGAATGGAAGAGGTACAGAAGGCAAAGGACCCAGGAAAATAAAGAGATCAGTCGAAGAACCAGAAACGAGTATGCACAGATAAGGAGGGAGGCCCAGCGACAGTATGAAAACGACATAGCATCAAAAGTCAAGTCTGACCCGAAACTGCTGTATAGCCACATTAGGAGAAAGACAACAGTCAAAGATCAGGTGATCAGGCTGAGGGAAGAAGGTGGCGAACTCACACGAAACAACCAAGAGGTATGTGAGGAGCCCAACAAGAGACTTAAGGAAGTATTCACAGTGGAGACAGGAAGGACTCTGCGAAGACAGGACAAAAGGGGACACCAACAGGGAATAGACCAACAAGTGCTGGATGACATACACACA